CCCCGCACTCCGTGTGTGGGGTGGGGGGGGTCGGGGGCCTGCCCCTGCGGGGGTCCGCTCATCTGCACCAGACGTAAAATGGCTCAGGTGAAACCTCTGCGCTGAATCACCAAGTATTAAACCAGCCGCTCCGGCAGCTCCTGGCCTGAATCTTGGCTGGTTGGGCTGGAAACGAGTTTACGGACAATAAACGCAATAAAACCACCAGCACCGATGGGAATTACAGCCTGGTTTTGGGACAGACCAGCTGGGTCCCAGCCCTAGCCCCATCCCACTGGGCAGCGCCGTGCGGCCGAGCTCCCGTCCCCGGGGACGTGCGATGGCCTTTTCTTTCCCAGGGGTCTGCCCTCGTCTCACGCGTCTGCCCCTCCGGCTGCGCCTCCTCCCGGCCTCGCGGGGCTCGAGGCTGAGCCCGGCTCCCACCGACGGGTTGAGATGAGCATGGTGGGTCGGGATGAGCGCGGTGTGTTGCTCCCACACGCGGCGGCTGGTGAGAGTCCAGGTTCGGGAGGTGTGTCTGCTCCGCTCCCCCTGCCATGCGAAGCACCTCAGTAAGATGCAGTAACCCCTTTAGCAGCTCTTCGCTGCAAAATGTGTTTCCAAGCCCCGCCTTGCAAAACCATTGGTTTGTCGTGCTCTGGTGCGTGATAAACCTTGCTTTCTGTCAGTAAACCATCACTCTGGTGTCGTACCGGGAGGTGCCAGCAGCCCTGAGGACCTGTGGCACACCTCTCCGGTCGAGCCGCGGCCGAGGGCTCAGCCTCTCCAGCCTTTCGGCGGGCTGCGGAGGTGCTGCGTGCTTTGGGAGAGGCGGCTGTGCTGCAAGTGCCTGTTCCCAGGCACTCCAGGCTCGTTAACCTTCGGGGATAAGAGGATTACAGCAAGAGCCGGGCTTAACTCCGCTGCTGCTTTACGGCCCCACATGGCGGGGTAAAGCCAGGGCTTCCCCGGTGCGGGGAAGGCAAACCAGCCCCTTTTACCATCAGCTAGGCTCAGCATTTTGGGGCTGGCTCACTTTTCGGGATGCACTCACAGTGGCTTTGCCACTGCAGTGCCCAGCTCGTGGGCGCAGCCGTTTTGGGCTCATTTGGGGGGGATTTGGCGCATTGACACCTTTGGCATCACCCCTTCGGCAGGGCATCGGGTTCCTCCTGCATAAGTCAGGAGCACTCGATAACCCGGCATCAGGTTCCTCCTCCAGCAGGAAAGCGCCTCGATTCGGAGGCGTCCGCCGGGCCAGCACCAAAGCAGGTGCTTTCCCCGGGAGGGGAAATAAGATTTTTCTCAGGTTTTACGGCTCGTGGGGCTGCAGGGAGGGACCGGGTTTCTCTTCCGGCACGAGCGCCGGCGGCGGGGCTGCTTCCTGCCTTCCCAGCTGGGACCTTTTTTCTCCGCCGGTGACCGAGGGCTCATGCGAGGCCGAAGCAGAGGGACCTGGGGAGGAGGAGGAAGATCCTCTTCGATCACAGCAACTCGGTTTTGCAGCCCGTCAGCATGTGGGAGACGCAACCAACCCCCGTCTGGGATCGTCTTTTGGAATAAACTTTTAGTTTGAAATGTTCTGTCATCAGACACGTTAAAATATAGATAATCCTCCTCCGATAATCACGCTGCTCCAGTTTTTTGCTCTGTCGAAATGGGCATTGCAGCCACCACTCCCTCCTTGCTTGGGGGCTGCATTTGCCCCATGTGCTGTTTGCACGTGGCAACGTCGTCAAAAAAAAAAACCCCAAACACCACCCCCTCCTCGTTCAAAGGCTCCGTGTGATTAGACAAACAACCCTGGAATTTGGCATCTCGCTGTCGTGCTTTAATGCTTCCCGGGCACG